TGTCCTACATTTATGTCCTGTTTATTGAAGTAAATTAACTTGGACCATTGAATTACAATTATCTTAAGGTTCTTTTCAGTTATTAACTTATTTTGCATGAAAAGTGATTGTATTTATTGTTGTGATAGTGACACAATATTCCACAAAGAGGAGTTTCTAAAAGCTAATGTATTATGCATTTAACAGAGAGAAGTCGATACCCGCCAGTTTATGCAAACTGCTCCTTGGTTGGGATTGATTCCTGGTGCTGATGGGCAAATATTGCACTCTCAAGAAGGAGGAGATAGCCCTATGGTCACTCTGTTTAAATCTGCAACTACTGCAACCATGTCCAACCCTAACTGCACAAATCCAACATCATTTCACACAATATCGAGACAAGCAGAAGCTGCCGGTAGGTACCAGTTCAATATCCAGCCTTTTAATGAGCTCGTCAATATTATTTCAGACATGTTAAACAACTTGTTATGACATCTTAAGTCTGATATCCTAGGAAGCTTTTCATGGTCCAAGTTTCTCTGGCACGTTTCTCATTGGACTATGTCTTTATGATGCATAGTACCATGATGCTCACAGACTTTTCCTCTTGAAGAAGAGAAATTTAATGAAATGCACAGGAAAGCTCTAGAATATAAACGTTTGAGAATCAACAACATCTATATGAATACTCACCTACCATGTTCTCTATTTTAATATTACGTTTGAGAATATTTGCAAGTTTTGAAAAGGTTTATTAGATAATTGGGAGCCAAAAGACAACGGAAACTTGCGTATTAGATATGGACCCGGAAAGATACTGCAAATTTGCCATACCTCGTCTTTCTTAGTATTTTGGAATCATTTCCATTGCCATGTTCTACTAGTTCTGAAGCCATTTGCTTTTAAGATCAAAGGAGAAAACTGGATTGGTTCTCGTGGCGGGAAGTGTCTCTAAGTAAAATATAAAATTGATATTGTCGAGATGCAAGCTCTATAGTAGTAAGATATGCTTCCTTTCTTTCGTCACTTCCAAATTTTTACCGAATTTAATGAGTGGAAGATTTTAATGCACTCAAGTTTCACAAGGAGCAGAGGATTACAAATGTTTTACAATACAATTGTTTGACTTGCTAGTTTTGAGCTATAAAGTTCAATATAGAAAGGGACCAACATTCTGGCAGCTGATACTTTGTCAAGTAAATTTGAATAACATGTTAATGCACTTCCAACACTGCTCCACAACTTGATTAGGTGAATGAGGTAATTGACAATTATGACAGAGATAAGGAAGGGAAATAATACTCTTTATATGCTTGTGTAGTAAGTACCGTGATGAGATACGGATAGGGAGTAAGGATGGACCAAGGATGTGGTCATGTGGCAACTACTTAATGTGATCCATTCTTCATCTCTTGGGGGTCACTCCACATCAAAGTAATATAACAGAGGTTTAGGATAGTCTTCTTTTTATTCACCAGGATAGATGAAAACCATAGTGAGGGGAATAGTATGGCATGTCAGCAATGCAAGACAGAATGTGCCATATCCTGACTTTATCCAGCCTTTATGTGTCTCTGATGGGATTTGGCAACATGTAACTATGGATTTCCTAGAGGACTGCAGATGGAAATGATATTGTGATGGAGACCATTAATTGTGTTGAAGTATGTAGCCATTTCATCTAAAAACTTAAGTTGTCAGGGAGATCACGGGCGAAACTGATTCTTTTTTCTTAACCCAAATACTTTGATTTTTTTAATAATGGTGGTGGTGAGAATCGAACCTAGGACCTTTGTCTTCTTTGATACCATGTTAGAAATGATAGAAATGAGAAAATACACAGGAGGAAGACTAGAGAATGTAATGATTGATCATTACCTTAAGTTGCTGGGTATTTAAATAGTAAGTACACCTCCTAAACTAGGTAACAAATCTAAATTGCATAATTACAAAGAAATAGTATCTCTGTTATTGCTTCTAATTAATCGAAACATAATTATCATATTGACACCACTACATGATTCTACCATATATACACAATATACTTAACACTGCCCTCTAAGATGGTGCATACAAATCGTGTGTATCAAGCTACTTATGAATGCAACTAATTGAGGGGCCAATAAGGTATTTGGTGAAAATATCCTCAAGTTGATCACTTGATTTCAAGTTTTGTGAGAACATCTCTTAAGAATATCTCCTTTGATGCAGTGTTGTGGACGGCGAGAGGCGACAAAAGGCGACAAGGGCCTGCCTCGCCACGCGGCGAGGCGAGCGGCGAGGCGAGCGGCGAGGCGC